TTATTATACCATAAAGTATATAAGAATTCTTGCCATTTAACTGCTGATATAGAAATTTAATTCCACACTGTGTTTGTCATAATGTAGATCTACTTGCTCTCACTACCGGGGTTTCGGAGCTCTACTCCATTGTCAGGTGAGCTTGAGTCGATTCTAATGATGCACTATGGTTTCTAGAAGCTATTTTTTGGCCAAAATACATATTTTAGACCCACTGTATATGGACTTTTTTTGTAAGTGGAATGCAAGCAGATATACAAATGAAGAAGACCACATGCGTATATTTTTGTTTAGTTTTCATTTTTATTCCTTATCAGCATTTATATTTAGACGTTCTAGTGAAGTATTTGTGCCTATTCAGTGTTGTTTATTTTCGGAAGAGTTTTGGTGAATATTAAGTGATATATTTCAGTGGGATATAAAAAAGGATTACTGTTATTTTTACACTTTATTGTATGTATTTTTAAGAAATCACTAACAATTGTACATAAGAATCAGCGTCTATTATTTTTTAATTAATTAAAAATAATGAGTTTAAGACAGAACATAAATAAAAAGTTAAAAGTTTAGTTTGACTTATAAAAAATTCTCCATGTTTCTCCATGCTAGATGTTATTGTAAAATTTGAAACAATCCTTTGTGAACATATCACAGAAAAAATTGACTGCTACTAGCTGCAACTTTTTTTTTAAAAGAATTTTTTTTCTCCTATGTATCGATTGAAAAAAATAGATATTTTGGAAAAATGGCTACAAGGGGCCGATAAAGTTGAGAAAAACGGGTTTGTTTCAAATTTTGTAAGACAGAAATTTCAGAATAATGAACAAGAACTATCAGGCACAATGGAAAAAAGATAAATCGCCTTTGTATAAATTTTGAAAGAAGATGGCAGGTGGCTTCGCGGCTTAAAGATTTATTTTTAAAACAAAATGAAGACTGGTTAAAGGAGGATTTTATCCTTGAGTTAAATGAACCCCTTCCATCCACATCATCTGTCGGCTGCCCATGATTACCTTTTTCGGAGCAGTCTTCCAGAACCCAGAGAAGAACGGCCTCAAAAGTTTCCGAGGAACATAGGCAGGATTGGGCTTTACTTGTGCAGGCTGCAAAATACTTTACTTGTGCAGGCTGCTTTGTAAATTTAGTTATCCTGCCGATGTACTTAACCTATTTCGTGTACCTGACTTTATCGAAAAGAAGTTAAATGAAGAACAATTTGAAGAGAAGCATGAAAAAGAAGAGGAATACGAGGAGGAAGAGCAAGAAGAAGAAATGCAAACAGAAGAAGAGCAAGAAGATATTTCTAAAGAAGATTTTTTTTTGCAGCAGTAATTTGATGATTGGTCAACTTTCTTTTTTGGAACTAGATACAAAAGATGCTTCGTAGGTAAAAGTTAATCACACGTTGAATGAGAAGATTAAAAATAACTTCATTTTATTCGTATTTTATTCAAAATACAAATTTACAGTCAATATTTTCTATTAAATGTAAGTTGTTTAATTTTGGCCAAAAAAGTAGCTTCTAGAAACCATAGTGTGATGGGAAAAACCGATTAATTTCAATAATCGAGTACTCGAGTTTCAAGCGATTGCAATAACCAAGTGATCGCTCGAGCGAAATATCACTCGTATTTAAAAATACGGTTTTTCACCCGTCGCTTGTTGTAAGTACTCGTTAACGCCAAGCGCCAAGCAGTAAGTTGCGTGCGCAGTAAAGAATGACAAGTAGCAAGCGGCGAGCGATTCGCTTGATCACTTGATGTAGTTTATTTCAAATCATTGTCGATGTAGGTCGTAAAATTTTGTCCCTCAGATACGCAACGGATAAATCGGCGTCGTATAAATTTGCTACCTGCAATGTATGTAGAAAATTCGCTCATCGGCTTTTTATCGAGTATGTCACATTAAAATCGTATTTCAATTTATTTCATTCTAGGATCGTTTGCGTTCGTCGCTTGGTATTCGTCACTTGCATCGCTCGTTCATAGTCGAGCGATGTCGGTTATTTTAATAATCGAGTACTTGAGAGCGAATTTTCGCTTGAGTTATCCCATCATTAGTCGATTCCACAAAATGACAAATACAGCGCAGAGTACCTAATTCGGACTTGTCGGAAAGTGGCGGTTAGATATTAAGTCCTGCACGGGAGATAGCAGCCTGCTTGCAATGGTACTACTTTCGTACCACCGAGGCGCAACTATCGTTAGTAGAAAGGCTTTTTTGAGGCAAGATAAATTATAAAATATTTGGAATTTTTATTTATTAAACCTATGTACAGTGCTTTCGTTTTAGTTTGTCGCACTTTTAACTGACCGCAACTTTTTATTTTTAGAGATTATTTCTTAAAAAAGCAAATTATACAGGGTCCGGCAGTAATGTGTCGGGCTCCTAGAATAAAAAACTTGGGAATTTTATTCAAGTGCAAACCTAAAGTATGTACTAGAATGTATTTCAGGAAAATATTTTAACTTCTACAAGGCGGCGGCTCAAAAAAGTCTGAGTGGATCGGGATGATTTTTTTTAAATAGAACACCCTGTATTTTGTTGAATTTTTGGCCTATTTTCTGACCACTTTACATAATTCTAAGATATGAGTAAATATATTTCAATACTTTTAGATATATTAATAAATACATAAAACATACATATTTTTCAGCCTTTCTTAAACAAATTATTAAAAATACAAGAACTGTCCTGAAATCAAAACTATAATAGATATTTACTTTAGATTGTCTGTACTTTGCTATAAATATCGTAATCTTAAATCATACAGGGTGTTCAAAATTCTACTCCAAACTTTCTAAAATATAAAATAATTTTCTTCGTTTTTTAAATGGTACACCCTATAAATTATTTTTTTATTAGATGGAGAATTAAGGAACATTTTTTGTATTTAGAGTATTTCAAAATTTTTAGCGGTTTCGCAGATACCTATATAGATACTACCAGAGAGTTTCGCGGTATTATTTCATAATATAGCTCTTTCAACGGTAAAATACGAGAGAAAAATCATTGGGTGGCTTTGATAAAAAATTATTGTGAAAAATGCCATATGAAGATTATGTTTTGTTGTAATTTCCATAAATAATGCACTTCCATTGTACAAAGTTTTTGTCTTACTTTGATAAAAAGGAATGTCTCACATCGTCCAAATACATATTTTTCATAAAAAAAATAAGACTCAAACATTTCAATTTCGAATTCATTAAAAACGTATACCTACAATGCCAAAATTCTAACGCCTTATATAAACAACTATATTTTTGTCAAACTGAGTTATATTATGAATTATTTATAGAGAAACAAATAAAACATTATTTATCAATAAAAAAACCTATAAACTTTAAAGAAAAATTGTGACAAAAACATTTTTAATTTGATAAAATACAAAAATAACCTCTGTATTTAATTATAATGAGATTCTTACGACAGATTCTGCGTCTATGTATCCGCCTATTCTCGTTTCCGGTTGGCTATAATTTTTTCAATATCCTACCGCAGCAGAGCGGAAGGTTTGTTAGGCTCCACCCCAAGTAAATAACATAAAACCTAGCAACCAATAATAACGGTTCGTCTAACGTATAATTCTCTGGTGAATCCCATCCCCCTTGTCATAATATGGTGACACGGCGGACAAATAGCGGCGGTCTAATAAAGGGTGCGTTTAAAAGGATGCGCCTGATAAACTCCACATCAATTATATATTTGAATAAAACTATTCATATTTTTCCTATTTAGTTGTGTTTTCTTTTATTTTTATAACCGTGTAGTTTTCTGAAATATAATTATTAAAAATTATATTCTTCTGGAAACATATTTGTTGTTTTGTTTTTAATTTTAAAAATAGCGTACTTTAAATATTCATACCTTATTTTTCAATGAAAAGTACTTCTAATTTTAATTACTACCCAAAATTACCTAAAATTCTTATACTGGGTCCGTCTCAAAAGTGGCGCAAAAAAACGAGATATGGTATGTTGTGTATAAATTAGGATTGATTGATGTATTCAATTATTTTTAGTCACTTCCTGTTTCGCCGGAAATGACTATAACTTTTGATTTTTAAATGGCACCCTCGGTATTTTTTTACTTTATTATATAGAAAATGACAGTCTGGATAGAATGACATATCATATGTCAACACTTTAGACATTTTCGCTTAAAAACGTGTTTTAAATTTCAATCTAGAGTCTTCTGGCTGTGTTAAAAACATAAATTTTTAATCAAGGAGCCTTTGAAAAATAGATTTGGGTTGGTTAGGCATCGTCTAATGTTTTTAGTGTCCTGTACTGGTCGGTTAAAAGATGCCTAAATTGTATTTTAATCATATCTCAATCTTTTCCAATGGAACGTGGGTGACTCATTCGCATATTTGGAAAAAAAACATTTTTTACGAATAATTTGGTATCACACACTTGGTATTTCGTGTCAAATTGTCGGTATGAACAGCATATTTCAATTTCAAATAAACCATATGCGAATCTGTCAAAAATTGACACGTGAATTGATAATTGATAATTGTCTGATATGTTGTCTATATTATTTATTTGATATTGAAGCTTTATAGATTTTTTTTTAAAATATAAAGCTTTTTACACACAATTAGAACAAATTAAAATAATGACAAGCAAAAAGCAAATATTACAATTAAAAATTCAAAATAGAAAATAAAACTTTTAAAATGTACTTGTAAAAGCTAGTAAATCACAAGGATCAAGTATTAAAAATATTAAGAACGTTTTTAAAAATAAATCAAATTATTCTGCAAAATTATTTTTTAGGTTTCTGTCACAATAAATTCATTTTCTTGACATTCCATTTTCAATAAGGACGCATTAATTCATAATATAAACACGCAACTTTATGAAAAAAAACTTTACGTAAACTTACTATTATAAAGGATATTTTTTGTAGTCATGAATATCACTACAAGAACAGGTAAAATATTATATGCGTGTATTTCTTTTCTGAGCTTTCATCCAAATATTTGTTTCACTTACCTTAAACGTTTTATATGACGAAACGACATAAGAAGCTCCATCTTCTAGTTCATCTAGTCTGTATTTCCGATCTCCATCCATAGAAAAAATATATCTTAAAAAAATAAGACATAATATAAGAAACGTAAATCGTACATCATTAAATTATGATTATTTGACCTATTTTTTAAATTATATTTTTCTCGAATAATAGTATATTACATACCGAGGAGGAAAGTGCATCATTACTGTCGAGAGATTAACTAAATCGAGACGATAATGAAAATTTTCCTCCGAGGTTTGTATACTATTTTATTTACAACCACATCATTAATTAAAAAATAGGGACAGTATTTTATTTTGAAAAAAAATAAATATGCGAAAATTTGTCGTTTTCTGATTTGGCATTTCCATATCTATAGTTACCGGTACCAGTGGTTGTTATGGCGCAAACCTTCAACAGCAAAACAAACAACTAAGTGACAGTTTTGAATTTCTTGTTCGCTTTTTTGAATTTATATAACATAGAAAGCCAAAGTGTTGTCGGAAAGTTCTGATAATGAAGACTACTTTAATATTGGTACTCCACCAGAACTTACAGACGCTGCAAAAAGAGCAGAAGCCAGTTTACTTCCAGAGAAAAGTAGGGGGCGATATGAAATAGCATTGAAAGTAAACGAAAAATGGTGTGCCGAAAGAAATACTAAGAATATTGCTTCGGAGACAGTCTTGATGGCATATTTTAGCGATATGGCAAGGCAGAAAAAGCCATCTACTCTTTGGACTACGTACAGCATGTCACTGAGTGAAACACACCATCCACTGTCAAACTTGACCACTAATTTCAACAAATAAATGTATTAAAATCTTCAATTATTATTCTTAATCTTCTTGTTTATTTTTGTTGATGTTAGATAATTATTTAAAAAAGATATTACAAGAATATTTTGCTTAATTAAATGAGGCGAGAAATAAGAAAAACCGAGTGGGGGAAATGGGTGAGGGAAATGGAAGAGGGAAGAAATGTAGATAATTTGACACTTTCAAATTTTTTATAAGTCAGTAATGTCAGTATTATATATGTGGTTGTAAATAAAAATAAGTTTTTACGTAATTTAGATTTACAAATAAATTCACCAATTTAATTACACCATTTTTTCAAAGAAAAACTACAAATGAATAAATTTATAATAGATATATTAGTTCTAAACTGTAAGACACTTCGATTGTATCTGTATTATTTCAATTTGATATCTAATTTATAAATTAAAAGTTTCAATTTCAAGTTATAGCCATCATGTGGTAAAAAATATAATGTTTCTTCAAAAAGACATAGATTATGAATATAGTTTGTACACCAAGAGAATAAATGACAATTGCAATTAATATTTGTCATTTTTATCCAAAAGTAGTTGTAGTTTCTTTAAATTTTTGAATGTCACTATAAAACAGACGAGACGTAAGTAATTTTCTTATACCTTGCTCCTCTTGGAAGATCCATTCTAAGTGACAATTTATCCAATAAAGATTCCAAACTAACAATATCACGTCCTGGTTTAAATCTAAATTCAACTCCGGGGAAGAATGGGTCGCCATTTTTGTAAAAAAGTACTCTACGAGCTTTCCAATATCCCAAATTAGAATATCTGAAAAAAAAATGCTTATTATTAAAGTATTTTTAAAATATTTTTATTGTTTGTTCAAAATATCTCTAATCAACTTATTAAAACCACTACAGCAAAAAAAATAAAATAATATCAATGAAGGTTTTCTATGTTCAAATATCAAAATACACTCACTCAAAATATTGATGTATTTTAAAGTTTAATATATTTTGTTCTAGTGGGCCAATTTTGATAATTTTTTAAGCAATTTGCAGCTAAATTATCTAACTTTTTAGTGTCTGAAATTTCTTATCTGTCAATTATACGAGGGAAAACAAAATGTTAATATATTGGTGAAAGTTTCAAACACCCTGTGGGATATGTTAACAATGCAAGGAATTTAAAAATCATTTTATCATCTAGGTATGTCTTTTCCCGATAGTCTATTTTTTTGTTTATTTCAATACCTTTATTTTTATTGGAGATATTCGCTTTTGAGTAAGACAAAAACGATTTACAGCAATTTTAGCATTGATTTTGGGTCCTCATCAGCACACTTATGAAATAGTGTATATTGTTTTTGTAATATTACTGTCATTGAAAAGTCATCTTATTATTTATTGACGTATACTCTAGTAGAGATGATTTTAAGTTCTAAAGTATCGGTTATTGCTGCTTAATTGATCATGGTAGAGGTTAACTTTTAGACTTAAAACCATATCTGTTAGAGTAACTGCCCAACAGACAATAATAGTATGATTTTTCAAAGACAATGACATTAAAAAAACAAAATAAAATAATTAAAAAAAATGAATCATAAAATAAAATAATAAAAAAATAAAAAAATGAATGAAAAAAAAGTGAATCATAAACACTAAATAGTATACCAACCTGCTGGTTGCCATTTCTACTCGGCTTTTTGATCTGGGCGCTGGGGGTTGCATAGAAGATGCGTCGCTGGCATTATCCGCCATCGGAGGACTGGAGGGGCGGGTGGCCGCCCCTTGCCTCCAATAGCCACCTCCGTTGGCTACCGGATGGTCGTCGTCCTCGTCGTCGCTTACGTCTAAACAAAATTGACAGTTTAAAACCGACTTTATATCATCAAAACATGCAATTACTTTCTTTTCATGGTAATTTAAAGCACAACAGATGCTCTCTCTTTAGATAATTATGATTTTTTCGCAAATTTGTTTGTTTTTATAGCACATACAGATATTTAAGAACTAGGTGCTATATTTTGTTTTATTTATTTACATTTTTTAATAGATTATTGTTATTATTTGCATTTTTTCGAAATAATTAACCAGGTTAAGTTATTTTAAAGTAAGAAATCCAAAATAGCCGAGCAGCAAAATATCCGAGCAGCACTTAAAAATCGGAAAAACCATTTTGCGAAAACATTGTGAAAACTTTCAAGATGAATTTACAACCACTAGAATCCGCTAGTTTGTGAGGAACCCATTCCGCATGCCCAATAACAAAAAAACACTATGACATAGTAGTATGTCATAGTGTTTTTTTGACATGTGAGAACCGTCATGGTGGTAGATTACAAAAATGTTCAAAGTATCAAAGAAAATGTTGCTTAAAAGTAAACTCATTTGACATAGAACTGTCATTTTAATTTAACAAAATGCCTTCTGCATATCTATAAAGTGTAGTTACTTTATTAAATTGTATTTTCTGTCATTTTTTGGACGTCATCTATAGAAATATTCCCTGATTCGTTGGATAGACTTTACTATAATGAAATCTTGCAAAAATGTGTTTTAAATAGAACCAAGTTCTTAAGTTACAATAGCTATACTTAAATGCTTAATAGGTAAAATAGTAGAATTGAGTATGCTCAAAATTTGATATAGACGATACAAATAATCATGTTTTTTTAAATAATTTATTTTTATTTTTCGCATGTTATTTTGTTTAAATAAAATTTGTATCGGGCAAAAAATGATTTATGAACAAGATAGTAAGTGATATATGTATGTTTCAAATACAAATATACAAGGTAGTCGGAATTGTATTCGGAAAACTTCGTGAGCATATTCTACCGATAAAAATAGGTAACAAAGTTCGTATACAGTTATATAAAGTGCTTCGTTTGGGTATACAAGGTATAGAAATTTCATTTTTATTTCGATATTTTTCAAATAATTTCTGAACTATGTCAATATTTGGATGGGAATTGGTGTCTGGGTATTTTTTTACACGGTAATTTGATTTCAATGTCCATAAGAATCCTACTTGTAGGGGGCGCCACCTACAAATTTTTAACTAATTTGAAGAGTAGTAATTTTTCGTCTGTACCCATATATAACTACTGAGTGAAAAAATGTTGAAAAAGATATTTGGAATGTAGATTATCAATACATGTCATTACTGAGCAACAATAAACATGTTGGCTAGACAGTTATTTGACTGAAGTTATAAATTTGGGAACTTCTTAATTTTTTAAATTAATTAAAAATTTTTCGAGAAAAAATGATGATGAAAGAGTTTCTGTTGAACCTTCGCCAGAAAAATATTTCAATTTTATAATTTCAGTCTAACTATCTAGTCAACATGCTAAATTTTTTTTAATGATGACATGTATTTAATATAAGGGACTTTTTTTGCGAAAAAAAAATCCGTAATTTTTTTTACTCAGTAGTTTTATACAGGTACAGACGAAAAGTCATTACTCTTCAAACCAGTTAAAAATGTAGGTGGCGCCCCCTACAAGTAGGAGTCATATTGACCTCGGGCTCAAATTTCTCATGTCAGGAAACTCCCAGACATCAATTTTCATCTAAATAACGCCGTTAGTTCAGAAATTATTTGAAAAAAAAATCAAAATAAATATTAAACTTCTATGTCATGTATCTCCGAAACGAAGCATTTTAAGACATATATTTATACAAACTTTTTTAGTTTCCCAAACACAATTCGGACTATCCTGTATATTTATAAAATCAGAACAAAATACAAAAAGAACTAAATTTCTAAACAAAACATATACGGCAGTTTAGTTGAAACGATCAAAATTTATAATAATAATAACCATTAATTAATTTCAACAAATAACTGTTTATTTTCCTCTTGACTCAATATAAAAAATAACAACAAGCAATTACATGCAACCACAGCCAACTACGCTCCACGTTTTTACCCCCTCCCCTGCTAACGTCACTTACCTCTCTGATTGTGCTGCGCGCCATTGCCAGCGGCCGGCACTAGACTGAGGGCGTTGGGATCGGGGGCGGCGGGCACGTCGGCGTCCTCACCGGCGCCGGTGGCGGCGCCACCCTCGCCTTGCTGAGCGGCCGCGGCGACCGCCTCCTGGAGGCCGGCGTCGTCGTACTGCTGCATGCGGCTGCCCGCGCGAGATGGAGCCACCGCCTGCGAAATAAGGGAGAAAATCAGGGAAATCGTTTCGGAGATTGATGAGAATGAAGTAAGGAGTAACACAGAGGTGGCAAGTTTACGATATTTCTTTTTATAGAGACATAAAATATACTCTGTTTTTTTCTCAGGTAAGATTTTGACAGACGATGACAGAAGAAAAGCGGATGACGTCCCATACCAATCTATTTATTTTACTAAAAAAAGTTTCTAATATTTTTTAAGTTAACTATGGATGAGTTTAAATATAAATCCGTCATGCGTCGTCTCTTGTTGTTTTAACCAGTTTTATTGGTTTATTTCAAAAATGACAGACCATGTTTCAATTTTATTGGTTTGACGGAACGATGAACGACAAACGGACGCCGATGCGTATGAACTCGCCTTAAGATTTTTGAGGCTTGTCCTGGGCTTGTAAAAGTCTTGCCAAATTATAAGTTACAATTCTTAGTCAACTTATGTAAAATATCTGCGTTTTGGAAGATGATGCATTTTGATTCGTGTTATTACGTGTGATTTGTGTCTTTTGAAGTCAAGTGAATGAAAAATCGAGGGAAAATTAACTGTAGACCCGGAGCACAATTTATAGTTAATACTCGCTGCCCAGGCAGAAAATCTTTACACCCTTAAAGTTACCATCAATAAAGTTGATGTATACCATCTCGTCGTAGATAAGTGCATCTCGCATATGCTACAAAGATCGTACTAAACATATACTACTGGAGTAGCTGTAAAATATCGACATCACACGATAGATAAATAATGGGTTTTAGTACTGCAGAAAAATAATGTCAAAAGGTACTGATCTAACAAAATTAAGATTAAAGTTAATTAATCAACCTTTAAGATATAAAATTAAAGCGTAATTGTTATTATTAATAAAATAGTTTATTTTGTTTATGTCGTTTTATTTACTCCTGTGGAATAATACAAATTTGTATTTGTACATAAGTTATATTGATAAATATAATAATAAATGCGGGAAGTTTCTTGAAGCTTGACAGTAAGAAATAGTTCTTTTTTATATTTTTTTGGTTTGGTTTGGTTTAAATTCCCCATACCGTTTTTTTTTAATAAAATAACTCGATTACATTTTTTCAGTTTTGTACAGTTTTTTTCACAATATTTTGAAGTAATCACTTATCAGTCAAATTTTAAATATATTAATTTCCTGCTATGCGTTCCAGTTGTACCAACTTATTTCTTTGTAAAATAAAATAAACTACTTTGAAATTAAAATGACAAACACATCTATCACTGTCGTTGGACAGACTTTACTGCTGTAAGTACATTAAAACTATTTAAATATTGCCAGCCATCAATTTTAACAAAATACTCCTATAATAAATTAGGGTTCTTTCCTCTTTTTTATAGTACAGTTTTATTAAGTCCTCTTTTTACACACGTTACTTAAAATCTTAAAAATGTTCATCTGTCGTCACAATGCTTAATAAAATTTTTAATCTGGCAACAATGTGTCTTTTGCTGACCCTCTTAGTTCGTACAGAAAAGAAATATTTACGTACCAGAATATTTGTGAAACCGATAAACATGTTTAACATTTTTATGTTTAAAAATGTTTGCGCCCTCTATAATGTAACTAAAAGTTTAATTGGTATTACATATGTGTAAATATTTGCAGCATGGCGAGAGATTGAATAAAAATAACTCTTGCAACTCATAATTTTTAGAGCTACAGATTCAATTGACTTTTTTAAGAATATTGCTTTGGCCATATATTAAGTGTTGCTTAATATATGGTCTACTCTACTACCATTGTTGCCACTCTGTGAGCACCTACATATCTAATTGTTTTGTAAATGTTACAATAACTGCTGTGTTGAAAATTTCCTGATAATTTTTAACTCTCTGTAATTTTCAAAAGCAATCCAGTTTAACGATTTTAACGAGTATGTTTACGTAGGACGTAATTGAAAACAATTTTGTATTTTCGCCAAAAACGATGATTCACCATAATAACGTGGAATACTGGAACACGTAATTATATGATTTATCGACGTAATTTATCCTTTCAAGAACATACATGAACCTTGATATTTTAATGAAATTCAATCGTGCAAATTTCACTTTTAAAATAGCGACGACTGTCAATATAACTTCTATTCTCTGACGTAGATAATATATTCTTTTTTAATTTTAAGAATACAGAAGATAGAGAGTTAGAATCCAATTATAAATTCAACTTTAAATCCATTTATTTTAAAAATTACATTAAAAATCTTCAACTTACGTGAACCTTGATATTTTAATCGAAAAGAAAACTTATGAATTTTATTTTAAAAGAGCTATGAAGTTTAAAACTGCCCCCATTACTTACATTCTCTAACATACAATTACGTAAAAAAAGAAATATCTATAAATATGAAAAATAAATTGTTTTGTTTATTAATATGAGAAATAGAACCTTACGAGGTTAATTACGCAGTTCTCTGCTTTTGAAAAGCAATAAATATAATGCGTTTGTTGGTGTAGGGATTTAATTAGTTAGATTAGAATTACGTCTTAACTGCAGAACATATGGGAGGAATTGCAGTTAAAACACTGGCGGGTATATGAGGATTTTTTAAGTAATTTTTCTAATTTAATTTATTAGTTAAAAATTGTTGTTTACATAGATTTTAGCACTATTATAATGAATAAAATGATTAGTTTCTAAAGATATTTTTCTATATAAATAAACTACTGAAAACAATTATCGCATATTTTCTAAAAAAAATATTAAGTTGAAAAATAAGACACTTTGAATTCCCTTACTTACGGTCATAAAAAGTTTGGATACTGTGAAGGGAAATTTTAAACAATAAACCTACGCGTTGACCTGTAATTTTTAGTTGGTCGACTATTTAGTTGCAAAAGTGAAAACAATACATACTTATGGAGCCGATTGGCCGACTATTTGATAGCATGTGAGCGCGGCTCTTAAACAATAAGCCTACGCGTTGACCTGTAATTTTTAGTTGGTCGACTATTTAGTTGCAAAAGTGAAAACAATACATACTTATGGAGCCGATTGGCCGACTATTTGATAGCATGTGAGCGCGGCTCTATAGGAATATATTGGTTACAAATATGCAACTAAATAGTCGGCCGATTAAAAATTGCCTGTCGGAGTATAACCTAAGGCTACGCAATGCAATCAAACATTGGGTCGATTGGATCCATAATAATTGCGTCCCGTAATTATCTTTAAAAAACTCACAAGAAAAAGGCAGAAAAATGCTAGCGTATATAGTTGGCAATATATGAAGAATATATCAAGTAAAAGTTCATGTTGAAAAATAAGGTAAATCGTATCCATGCAAATTATGTAAAAATTATTTTTAAAGTAATTTTGATTTATTTTTTCTTAAGTTTATTGTAATGTAATAATATTATTTTTAATTTTTAAAATGTGTATGACAGATAAATATTGATCCCATAAAAAAATATATTAAATAAAAAAACTATATACAGACAATAATTATACAATTCTCTATAAATAAAAAAATAATATATATGTACTGCCTTTTTGGCTAGTATTTATTTTAAAATGTCCCAGAAAATAAAACAAAAATAGGAAAAATAGAAATTGATTTATTTTTAAATAAAAAAACTACAAAACTAGTAATTAGTAATATATGGCTATCGCTTTCTTTATTTTTTAAGCAACACCACATAGCATAAATCTTATTAAAAATTAAAAAAATATTTCACATATAGAATTTTTTTTAATTTTACAGGTAATTGTGATCAGGTAGTGATTGTTAGTTAAAAGTTTAACTTCATGCAAATGATTGTAGATTGTATAGGGGAGTTAATCAACGCGACCATAGATCTATTGTGTCCCCCTTTCTTGAGTTATAACTCATCATACAGTCTCAGGGCTTTGACAAAAGGCAGTATCAGAGACGGTTTTACAGAGCTTAGTTCTCCATCTCCGATATTTCTTAAATCAAGGAAAATCTTCGTATTTTTCAAAAAAATAACTTTATTTTTGAAGAAAATTTTTCAAGAAATGAACTCGTCACAAAGAAACTCACTTTTTCTAACTTATGGTTTGAGCAACGTATTTATAAATCTTTAGTGTAGTTTGTTATGATTTTGAAAAAAAAAATATTACAAAAGAGGACAATTGCAAAAATCTCAAACAGAAAAAAGAAAACGATAAACTATAATAATAATAATGTTTTTGTAGAATATCGCATTTGGTTGTTTTAGATTTATGGTTGTTGATTTACTACTGAATCTATCGCTATCGTCGACAGAAACATGTTTTATAAGTTCTACCTGCCCAGTTAAGAGTTGAATTATTACTTTAAATGTATAATCATATTACTAATAGATATTATTAATATGACAAATTAATTAAGTTAATTTTATTACAAAGATTATAGATAAATACTCAGATTTTTAGTACTTTGCCTAGAAATTATATATTTTATTTTACCTTTTTGCATTTTATATTCTTCCATATTGATTAAGTTGAATCAGATATTAAACAAACACTGCGTGACTACCATAGTAAGAACGTGATTTAGCTTTAGCCTAAATTATATTTTTATGACATTTAAAACCTTCGTTAGATAAGCCTTAATTATAATATTCCACAAACGGTAAGTTTTAAACAAATTGCCTACTAATTTGTCAGATTATATTTATGTATTTATATGCTTAAGACTGGTTATTTGGGACATTTTTTTTTCTTTTGTGTCTATGTTTTGCGTGATCCAAATTGGTTTACATTTTCAGCGATGATACATACCAGGTGGAAAATTGCCAAAAGTTAGAAAAATAAACCTTTGTTAGACTACTAGAATTTTGTGTAGTTTTATCCAATAAAGGCGTTAGGTTTTTAAAACTCGTTTATTGCAGTTCTTGTAGATTGTAGATTGCATGGGAGGGGGAAAGTTAACTCATCATACAAACTCAGGGCGTTGAGAAAGGCCAGTATCTAAGACGGTTTTACAGAGGTTAGTTCTTCATCTCCAAAATTAGTT